CACACGTGCCACACGCCTCCTAGCGACACCGGCCACACACGTGCCACAGGCCCCTCAGTGACCTAGGTCACACATGTGCCACACGCCTCCGAGCGACACAGGCCACACACGTGCCACGGTGCCACACGCCTCCGAGTGACACGGGCCACACATGCCACAGGCCCCTCAGTGACCTAGGTCACACATGTGCCACAAGCCTCCTAGCGACACAGGCCACACATGTGCCACACGCCTCCTAGCAACTCAGGCCACGCATGTGCCACAGGCCCCTCAGTGACCTAGGTCACATGTGCCACGGTGCCACACGCCTCCTAGGGACACAGGCCACACATGTGCCACAGGCCCCTCAGTGACCTAGGTCACACACGTGCCACGGTGCCACATGCCTCCAAGCGACACAGGCCACACGCAGCTGACTTTGAGGCTTTCGCAGGCAGTGGGTTGTGTCTGAGAGGCAGAGCCATGACCATTGCCCCATTTTATAGATTCGGTCGGTGAACTTTATAGAGTTTTATAGAATTCGGTCTTTGTTGGCTGAAACTGCACCCGGCACCGGGCACCAGACGCTGGCCCAGGCAGGAGGGATTTGAGGGGGCCCAACCGAGCGTGAGAATGTGTTTTCCTGCACATCGAGGAGTGTGCTCTGAGTGCAGAACCACCCTGAACAGGGTCTGCACCAGGAGTCAGTCTGGGGTCCTAGGAGCTCCCTTGAGGAAGCTGGGGAGTGGGGGACAGGACAAGGGCTGCGGGCAAAGGGCCCTCTGGTGGAGGAAGCCCATGAGCCGAAGGGATGGAAAGAGGCTGAAGAGGAGAAGCTCAGCCTCGGGCAGGGGCCAGACCAGAGAGGCCATGCTGTGGAGGATCTGCGCTCGTTCTGAGAACACCAGCAGCCACTGAGAGGTCCCACTCAGGGAGGGACTCCCTTGGGTCCCCGTCGGATCCGATCGCCTTCTGGAAGGATCTCCTTCCAGTGAATGGAGAAGGACTGACGGTGACAGCAACTGTAGCTCCCAGCAACGGGGCCGAGGGGACGCGAGGAGCCGGAAGCTGGCGGTGACACCGACAGGCGCGGCCGGCCTGGCAGGGTAAGGGGCCGACGTGCCGGCAGTGAGTGCGGGGGCCCCGGCGCGCATGTCGGCGAGGTCGGGGGGCAGGGATCCTGGGTGGGCAAGTGCCCGGCTGGTGTGGACTGC